CCCATGCTCCCAATTTGTCCAGGAGCTCTTGTCCCTTTCCCCTTCACCGGGGGACAGTGTATGTCTCTCTTATGGTCCTCCTTGTTTACTAGCTTTTCTGGAGATGTGGAGTGTAATTTGGTAAACCTTTGCTCTATGTCTAATATCCATATATGAGTGAGTACATACCATGTTTGTCTTTTTGTGCCTGGGTTACCTCACTTAGGATGGTGTCTTCTAGTTCTATCCATTTGCCTGTAAATTTCAAGAATTCATTGTTTTTTCCCCCCTGCTGAGTAGTACTGTATTGTATAAATGTACTTCTTATGCACAAATATTGCAGTTTAATAAGGATCAGGATAGACAATTAGGCCGAACAGATGTTTATTCAGGGAGAAATAACTCACAACATAGACTGGTGAACACCAGCAGGTTCCTGCTTCCAAGAATGCATCCGGAAGTCCTCCTGTCCCCATGCGGCTTGCAAGATTTTAAAACAGGCTATTTGTCATTCAAATTTGGATGTGTAGAACTCAAGTATAGTACTTATAAGCACACAATGAAATCAAATGGGATCTGAGAGCATGAAGATGATGTCTTTGGGGGTGAATGGCTTATTTGTACAACCACATGTATGGAACATCCCCATTCCATGGTTTGTTTTAAGTGTTGGAAGAACATGCTGAACAGATACAGGAAGGTTTTGGTGTCATGGATCTTTCTTTCTTGTGAGGGAAGAGGTGCGATTAGCAAACATACATTGGAATGTAAGTGGTAAATATGATAAAGAGTTTAAAACACAGTCTGCATCCTGGGATGTAGACTGGGGTGGCTTATCAGTTACTTTACATCTTGCAGAGACAAAGACACCTTACAAGAACAACTTATGGGGAAAGGGGCTTATTCTGGCTTACGGTTCAAGGGTGGAGTCCACGGTGGTGGCAGGAGCTTGAGGAGGCAGCTCGTCACCTCAACCCACAGTCAAGCAACAGAGAGTGATGATATCAGTTCTCAATTAGTTTTGCATTTTCCTGTAGTCTAATATTCAAGTTCAAAGAAGAGTGCCGTCCACTTTTAGGGTGGGCCTTTGCACTTAAAGAGATTCTAGATTCTGTCAAGTTGGTAACAAACACTAACCATCCCTGGCAGGAAGATGTGGTGTGTCACATGCATTTATCAGAAAAGATCTTGTTGGGAGGCAAACAGGCTAAACTGTTCTAATGAAATAAAAGCACAGTGGTTTGCACACGACAGAAGGTTGTTTCTCACTTGCATTAACAATCTAAGAAGGGTGTTCCAGGTCTGGGAGAGGTTGGTTCTCTTCAATGCACTGCTTCAGGGAACCAAGGTCCTTTGAAGAGCTGAAGACACACAGACCCAAGGACCTTGCCATGCTGATGTCATGGCTGAGTTACACATTCAGATCTCAGGCAGAGGAGAAACAAAAGAGGCAAAGGCCTTGGCTCAGAAGTGACACTCTCCAGGGTTACCCTCTATTGGTGAGATCTTGGTCATATGGCCATGTAACTGCAAGAAACCCTTAGCAATAGGTAGCTGTGATATCTGGCACAGGACCCACTGTGGTCAGCAGATGAAAACACAAGTGTCTTAGATCAGGGAAGGCAGCCACAGAGGTGGCAAGGAATGGTCATAGTCACAGTCAACTGGACTTACAGATGAGCTAGAGGTAGAAGTGTAAGAAAGAGAAGTCAGCACGAATACTAGCCGTTTGCAGAAATCATATCATTGACTTGGTCTTCAAAGAGTCTTGGGAAGGATAGATTTCTGATTCAGCTATGCTAAGTTTGGGGTGCTTAGCAACCTACCCAAGAGAAGTACTGACGAGGCAATTAGAAATGGAAAACCTAAGTTTAAAGATGATACAGACTCAGAGTAGCTACTGAGTAACCTGGAAATCGTTGTTTAGGTGAGAGAAAAGGCTCTGGGGTTGTAGGCAATAGGACTGGTTCAGGAGGGAATAGATAAATTGGCAATGTGAGAACAAAGTTCAGAGCAGACCAAAAGCACCAGATCCAGGGTGCAGGTGAGGGGGGCATGTGTCTGGGGTAGGAAAGGGACTGAGCATGTGCTGTAGAGGAGGAACATTGGAGCAGAGGGTGCAGCACAGGCAGGCCGAAGATACGGGGATCGGAGGGATGAAAGTTCTGTTTGCTATGTTAGCACTTAGGAGAGTGAGTTGAGTGGACACAAGTTCGCTGAGAAGACTAACATGGGCACAGATGTGTGTGCTAGGGAGCCCTGGCTGTCTTAGACCGAGTCACCGTGTTAGTCGGTGCTGCATTACTATAATACAGCATTACTGTAACGCCCACATACTCTGACACCCACACTACACCGCATTACTGTAACTTGCATTAACACCTGCACTGCTGTAACACCCGACACAACAGACTTAAAAAGAGAAAAGGTTCATTTTGGCTGACAGTTTGGGAAATTTTCTCTTGTAACCAGTTAGCCCCTTGTTTGAAGGCTGTGTCAAGATAACAACACTTCATGGCAGGAGTTTGTGTTGGAACATAAGCACTCACATCATGGCCAGGCCACAGAGGAGGAGGAGGCCAGGGTCCCTTTAAAGAACATGCCTCACTGACAAAAGACCTTGCACTAGACTCCTCCTCCTGATGCTTTGGGGGCACTAAGTGTCTAAACTATAGCCACACCTGGGCTAGGAAGGATAGTAGTGAAAACAGGAAATGAGAAATGGAAAACAGAAATATCCCAGGGTCCCTGTATGGACCAGGAGCGAAAGATGGCAGAAAAAAAATAAACTGAAAAAAGTGTATGTATGATACAGAGACTCTCTCCCCCCTCTCTCTCTCTCTCTCTCTCTCTCTCTCTCTCTCTCTCTCTCTCTCTCTCTCTCTGTGTGTGTGTGTGTGTGTGTGTGTGTGTGTAAAATGTTAGGTTACCTGTGATGACAGCCCTCAAGTGTGGCTAAGGGAGGAGAAATCAAAGTGAGTGAGTGCTGGAGCGAAGCTTTCACGGAACTGAGAGGGAAGGGAGTTGAATGTGTTGCTCATGCAGAAGTTACCGAGTATGACGGCAGACAGTGCTGACAGTGGAAGATGGCAGGGCACGGGCTGAAATCTTTACCCAGAGAAATGCAAGACATAACCAGGAAGGTGGTAAAAGACTACACGACAAAGGGCGAACTGTTGGACTTCCTGTGCTGTTACAAACACCGGGGGCAGTGACTTGAAGGGGAGGAGTCAGTCTTTACTCTTTGCTGCATTTTTTGGCTTTCAGTCTGTAGGTGTCTGGTCTGTTGCCTCTGGGCCTGTGGTGTTGCAGGATGTCATGGGGGCAGAGGGTAGCCTGCTCACCTCGTAATGGACACCACACACCTCTCAGAGGCACACCCCTACCCGAGTGACCGCCTTCCTCTCACCAAGAACCAGTTCTAATGGTTCTCTCACCTCCTAATAATGTTACCAAGTTATTAAATCATCAGGGGGCATCCATTTATGACACCATAGCTTTCACGATCCAGTTGCTTCCCTGAAAATCTGTCAACAGGCAACAGTAGGCCTCCGGTATTATAACAAGGTGTGATATAATCTATTTAATCTGACATAATTTGGAGGAGCTAGGTCTGTTTTGGTTTAGTTTCTGCTTTTAAATCACAGTCCCTTTGTGTAGCCCCCGGTTGGCCTAGAATTTGTGATCCTTCTTTCTGCCTTAGATTCTTGAGCACTGAGATTACAGATTGCACCACCACTGTGGTCCAGAGGGACTAGTTCTAAAAGGCACGGGGTCCAGAGAAAATAGCAGACTTGAACTGAAATGCGTGTCGATTGCCAGCTGTAAGCCTTAGCCTCAAGATGGACCTGGATCCTGCCCCCAAGACACATGTACTCCAGGGGGCACAGAAAGATATAAATAAGTATATAGGACCGCAGATGCAATGATAGCAAATTCTGTGACAGAAAGGAGGTGGCACAAAGGAATGCGAACACTGTGAGGAATTAGATTGTTGTGGCAGGGGTGAACTTTTGTGAGGCAGTGATAGGGACTGTGACCTGAGGGGTAGATGACAGGCAAGCAAAGAGACAGGGTCCATGAGAAGCAGTCCAAGGAAACAGGAAAATTGGGAGTGAGACAGGATCAAGACGTGGAGCAAAGGACCAGGAGAGGGGCTGGCACACTCGGGTATTTTAGCTGAAGAACGACTTGATGCTGGGAAGTGAAGGTTAAGGGGTTGAAACATTTCCTGAGAAGTTTAGTGTCAAAATGAGGCACAAACACACAGCAAGGTTAATCCAGCATTACCAGTTGTTTGAATCACCTCGCCCAGAGGGTTCACGATGATTAGGACACACAGTGAATCGATCTATACGCATGTTCACGGTTAAATGGGCATGTCTGGAGTCATGTAAACTGAGAAGGCATAGAGCTAACTAACAAACATGCAACTCCGGACGCTCCCATGTGCCGGAAGTCCGTGGCGAAGGGAGTGGGACCAGTTTGCTGTGCTCAGATCTTTGGTCCCCTCGGCCTCTTCAACAGCCAGAGGAAGGAATCCGGGGAGGGCTCCCCCTCCCCATCTCCTTTGTCAGCTTCTGATGTGTATCTGAGACCAGGTTAAATGCCCAGCTGTTAGACGGTGGCAAAATCTATCCCATTGTAGACAAAAGCCAGCCTGGCCCAACAGTTCCAGTGGCCACATGGGAACCCAAACCCCAGGGTCCAGCTCCTGGCTTCTGACCCCTCCATCTGAAAGACAGGGAAGAAAGGGGCTTTGGGTGCCCCCAGACGACAGAGAGGGACAAATGTGCAGCGGGCTTGGGAAGCTTCCACTTCTACTCTGGCCATTCTGCCTATTCTTTTCAGATCTGTGCCGTAAGTCCTTCCTCCTTCCTTCTCCATGAGCAAGTGCTTGGAGCTTGTTCTAGGCTAAATTGCAAAATCAGGGCTTATGAGCTTGTAGATATATACTTATAAAGTTAGAGAGGGATTGGTTGTAAGTCAGTAATGAAGTATTTGGCCAATTCATTTTTTAGATTTCTTTATGAAATGCCGACTTCAGGAGCAAGAGGTCCAGAGGAGACCAAGTGCTTCCTATACTTGCATGTGTAACCCATGGGTCTCCCTGTTTGGGGTGAGTAATTTCTTCTTGATCTCAGTGTCCTTAAGAAAAGATTTAGGTGAAGGTGTGTGTGTATGAGACAGATGTAAGGGAAGAAAAGGTAGTAATTAGCATCAACATGATTAAATTGCTTGTTTTATTAGAATTCAGATGAACCATTATGACAAGATTTACATTTAATCAACCACTCATTTTAATCTATTATCTATCATTTAAATAATCGTATCTGATCACCCTGGGTTACTAATTTCATGCAAATTTGCTGATTGTAGGGAGGAGTGTAAAATAGTGTGGTAGTTAATCTCAATGTCAGCTTGGTGAGATGTGGAGTGGACTGGAGACAGGCTTTGGGGAGTGCCTATAGGGCTGCCCAGTGTGGGTGACACCATTCCTTAGGCTGGGACCTGAACTGAGAGAGTGAGCTATGCACTGTCAGTGCAATGTGACGGGCTGCCTCAAATCCTCACTGCTGTGACTTCCCACTATGACGGGCCATGGCTGTGAGCCTCTGACTGAGGCAAAATAGACCCTTTCTCCCTTGAGTGGCTTTTGTCAGGATAGCATAACACAGCAACAGGAAAAGTAACTAAGACAGAGTGCCTTCTTGCTGGTGGCTTTGATTCAGGGGTTATCCTCAAAGAGTGTTTTCCCCACAAAACTTGCTTGAGTAAGTGTATAGTTACTCTTTTCATTCCAGAACCCAAAATCAGGATTCTAGATCCCAATTTTAAAGTTGACAATTTACACTAACCGACCACAGTTCTACCTCTTGTCAGTTTAACAACCAAACCATTAACTTTTAAGCCATAACTCTTTACCCCTTGTCCTCATGCTCATGGCCGTTTCATAATGCATTATGTGTTTAGTTTACTTTGAGGCCCCTATATCCTTTAACAGTTTCAACAGCATTCAAAGCCCAACGTTAAAGTCGCATCTAAGATGCAAGGCAGTCTCTTAAACATGAACTCCCACACAATTAAAACAAGTTAGCATACTTGCAGTATGCAATGGCACAGAATACATATTCTCACTCTAAAAAGGAGGAATGGGGGAATAGCAAAGAAGATCAGAACAAAGCAAACCCAAAACTCAGTAAACATCAATTCCTACAGCTTCACACCTACCATCTTGGGGCTGTGGAATCATATGGGATCAAAAAGGTTTGGATAGCCTACCCTGATTGCTCCTCTGCCTGTGGAGTCTTTTTTCTTGGGCCTGCTGTCCTTTATGGCTGTAGCTTTCCTCAGCAGATATCCTGGAATCTTTATAGTAACGCATAGTACGTATAGTAACGTAGACTTCACCACACAGTTTCACACCATGGCCTCTCAAGGCCTCCTTATGGGGGGCTCCAATCTTGCAGTATATTGGCAGACCTCAATGTCTCTCTGAAAACTGTGGTTCAAGATGTCACAACACCCTCAGTCCTGTGGCTAGCTATGGATGCAGCCTAGTCTCCTTGGACCACAGCTGAATCAGTTTTTGTGTGCTGATCCTAGGAAAATGTGTCTCTAAGCAGGTGCTTCTGAGGAATAGGGAACCCCCTCCAGTGACATTCTGTAATTCGATTTTGACTCTCTCCTTTCCAAAGAATTTGTGGTTTGTTTGTTTGCTTTTGTTTTTTGTATTTTTTTTTTTTTTGAAAAGTGGACCCTTTCATGGGTAAGGTCTTGCCTGGGGGACATCTTTCTTGTTGTCCCATTACAAAGCAGAATGCTTCTCTTTAACAGTTATAGCCTCTTTTTCAGCATGCTCCTTGGTCTCATAGTTTAACTTGCTAAACTCTTATCCTTGGCAAACCACACTTTAATTTCTACCTTCATGCTCAACTTTTTACACCTTTTCACCGTAGACCAAAAAAGTGCAGAAGAAAGTCATCATACCATAGCCTGGATTCTCTCCTGTTTTGTAATTCTTCTACCAAACAAATTAATCTATCATCTTTACATTCAATTTCACTTACTTAAGTCCTTAAGACATGGGCAGAATGGAGCCACACAGTATTGTCCAAAATGTCACATGAATGCCTTCTAGCCCAGTTTGTGACAGAGTCCTTGTTCCCATTGGGAATTTCAGGAGCTATGTCTCCACTGTCTGCATTCCTATTGGCATTCTTGTCTTCCCAATTCAAAACAGAGTGGCCCACTAAACTTTATGTGCTGTACCAGAAGGCTTTAGCATCACAAAGTTCTTCTACATTCTGCCTGCAAAACCAGTTCCAGAGTACTAAGAGCCATGTGGTCAGGTTCGTCACAGCAACAACCCAACTTCTGGTACCAGTTTTCTGTTGTAGTTGGGACTTATTTTGGCTCATTGTTTAACGGTCAGTCCATCATTACCAGGGAGTCCTTGCAGCAGGAGCTTGAAGTATCTAGTCACATTGTATCCACCCATAGTCAGAGAGCAGAGAAAGATAAATGCCTGTGCTCAGCTTGTACTTCCCTGTAATGCCTGTATTTCCTCCTTTTCATGAAGTCTAGGACTCAAGCTCAGGGGATGGTGTCACCTTAGGTCTTAACACCTCAATTAATCTAACCAAAACCACCTCTCACAGTCACATCCAGGGACTAATATAATCTAAATAAATTTCTCACAGATATGCCCAGAGGTTTGCTTCCTGGGTAATTCTAGATCCTATAAAGTTAGCAGCCAACACTAACCACCTGTCTTAGTTGGCTTTCCATGGATGTGATAAACATTGACCAAAGGCATCTTGGCAAGAAGAGCTTTATTTCATCTTACAGCTTATAGTCCACCATGAAAAGAAGTCAGGGCAAGAAGTCAGGGCAGGAAACGGGATGCAGGAGCTAAAGCAGAGATCATGCTTACTGGCTTGCTCCTCATGGCTTGCTCAGCCTGCTTTCTTATACCCTCTAGAACCACCTGCCCAGTGATGGTACCACCCGCAGTTGAATGGGTCCTTCCCCATCAATTAACAATATTTTTAAAAATGCCTAGAGGCCAATCTGAAGGGGGCATGTTCTCAACTGGGTTCCCTATTCCCAGATGGCCCTAGTACAAGTTGTCAAAAGTACAAGTGACAAAAAGAAAAGAAAGAAATAAACAAACAAACAAACAAAAAAACCCCACCTACCCTAGTAAGTAAACTTTATTATTTATTTCATGTAATTAAACTTTATTCAGACTTTTATTATAAGTATTTTTATTTACTACTATTATTTACTTACTTTTATTATAAGCAAACTTTAATTGTTCAGAGCTCAGAGAGATCACTGTCTCCTAAGGCCTTACATAGTCCTGTATTTTGATTACCCTATGTAAAACCATTAGGTGACTTACTCTTCCTATCTATTTCTGTAGGCCATTGCATCCCTTCTCATCATGTTTGTGATTCAGTGGGTCTATACCCTACTTAGCATGGGTGTTGCTGTCATTGTGTATTTCTACATTGGCCAGTCCAGTCCAAGTCTTTACCTAGGTAAGTGGCTAAGTCATTGTGCTACTATTTCCCTTATATTTTCTAGTTTCCATTGAAGAATTTCGTGTTAAATATGACATGCACATAAATAACTATAAATGAATTACACTGGCAAATAATTTGAGACTTACAAGACCTGTAGAACTAAAATGGATGATAACAATGGCGAAAGAGGCAAGGATAAAATAATGTATTGAAATAAAGTATACTAATGTAGTATAATGTTGTACATTTCCTATGCTGTGAGTTAATGCGATAGTATCATTTGACCAAGGCAGTTTACAAAAGGAAGGGTTTATTTGGGCTCAGGGTTCCAAAGGAAAAAAGAGTCCATCATGGCAGCAAGCAGTAGGCAGGGAGCCAGGAACTGAATGCTGAGAATTCACATCTTGAACAACAAGTACAAAGCAGAAAGAACACCAAGAATGAAGAGAGGCTTTAAAACCCCAAAGCCTTCCCCTAGTGACACACCCCTCCAGCAAGGCCACATTTCCTAAACTTCGCCAAACAGTGCCACCCTCTGAGTCCCCAGTGTTTAAACGCTTGTGTGTATGGAGGACATTCTTGTCAGAAGGTCAGTAAAATCAGTAGGCTTCTGGGCAGACCAATCAGAATAAGAAAAGATGCAAATGACCAAAACCAGGAATAAAAGAGATTATATCAGTGGACAACCTACACATATGAAAAAGAAAATAGCCAAGTATGATGTTGCATACCTTTAATCCCAGCACTCAAGAAACAGAGGTAGGCAGATCTCTGTGAATTCAAGGCCAGCCTGTGAAGGGCACACGAGCCAGTCAGGAAGGTGAGTCCTGAGATGTTTACAAAAAAGGGTAATTGGTTACCAAGATTGAACCAGATAAGGTCACTGCATGAATGGCTTGTGTTCACTAGGTAAAGCATAGGGCACCTAGGCACATAATAGGTTAACTTTTAAAACCATTGGTTGGCTGTTTTCCTGCCCTATGATTTATTTATTTATGCTTTAAAAGATGCTTGCTATGGGGCAATAAACAAGTTCCTGCTTGACTAGACTCCCTGCTGTGTCTGATTGTCTCCAGGATCCTGGGAGAACAGGCAAGCTGTGCACTTACCCTTCCTTGGACCTAGCTCAACCTTCTGTGTTTGGGCTAAGACTCTGCAAGCCTGGACTACATAGCAAGTTGTATAGGCTAGCCAGGGCAACATAATAAAGCCCTGTCTAAACAAACAATACAGAAAATAGAAAATGTCTCCTTCCTAATAATAAGGCAGAATACCATAAACTGAACAACTTATAAACAACAAAAAATTATTCAGCTAAGGGTTCTGGAGACTGAGAAGCATAGGACCAGAGGGTACTTAGGTTAAGGCCTAATTGATACATTATAACACAGAGAAAGACATCCCATGGCAGATATGGAACTAGGGGTGTAACAAGTTTTCTTTGTCTGGGCTAGGGTCCCACTGCCCTTGAGCCCCTAATGAACACATGGATGCTATATTAATTATTGGCCACTGGCTAGTGCTTCTTATTGGCTAGCTCTATCTTAACTATTAACCTATAACTACTTATCTATGTGTTTCCACGTGGTCTTGGCTTACTGGAGAATGCCAGACCTGCAACTCCTTTGCCTGTTGTGGCAGGCTCTCTTGACTACTTTCCCCAGTCTCCTCTCCTAGTCCCACCTATCTTACTGCCTCATTGGCCATTGGCCCAACAGTGTTTTATTCATCAACCAATAAGAGAAACATATACAAAAGGACATCCCCCTTCATAGAAGCAGAAAAGAGAAGGAAGGAGAGGAAGAGAGATGAAATGATCTTTTTATCAGGAGTCTACTCCCTAGATAACTAACCAGCTCCCTAGATAAATAACACTCTTTCTAGATAACTAATCCACTCCCTAGATAACTAACCCACTCCCTAGATAACTCAGCCACTCTCAGGATAGAGCATCACTCCAGTTAAGAGAACAGAGCCACCATGACTGGACCATCCATCTCAGGATCCTGCCTTTCAACACTTACACTAAAGATAAAGTTCCCACCCAAGAACTTTGGGGAACACATTCAAACCACAGCACATAATTTATATTTTTCCTCAATAATAAAGCAATCTTAAAGATGTATTAACAGCTGAATAACAGTCCATTGTGTAAATTCATTGAATTTTCATTACCTATTCATCAGTTGATGAACATCTAGGCTGTTTCCATCTCCTGGCTATTGTACATTTACACAATAGAATATTAGTCAGCTATTAAAGATGAAATTATGGAATGCAAAGGTAATGAATGAAGATAGTCATTGTAAGTAAGGTAACACAGACTCATGTTACCTTACAAATGTTGCATGTTTTCTCTTATATGTGGATGTTAGCTTGGAATAGTTAGATATGTATGGTTCATTTGGAATACCCCAGAGATTAGGAAAGTAGTAAGGGACCATTGGGAGTATGCTTTTAATAGAAGGGACATAGAATACAGCAATATAATGGAGGAAGAGAGAATAATGGAACGAGGAAGAGTAAATGGAGTGGGAGGGCATGGTAGAAGAGGGAATATGGGGAGGGATTACTTACACTTTTGAAAAAGCCATTCTTATTACTGTAGAAGCTTCACAAAATATACATATAAACATATAAAAATAGTTTAAAATGGAGTTACAATGGGGGTACAATACTCTAACAAGATACCACATGCTAGCAAATAGAAACCCAAGAATCAGAATGGGTTGCCTCTTTTTGAGTCCTTGACCAGTGAGGTTCCATGTAGAAACCACCAAACATTACAGGTGATTTCCACAATTTTTGGTTACCCTCTAGAATTTGGCTAGCTTTCATGGTGCTGGAAGGTGCTATGCATTCTACTGGAGGAGAAAAGTAATCATCGGTCCCACCCAGCCGGGAGCACTATGAGCCACAATAAATGAGTGACCTGGCAGGATATGTCACTAGTGCAATAATGGCACAAGTGTTATGGGAGTAACCAACCACTTTCTGATTGATCTAAAATCCATTCCATGAGATGGAACCCATATGTGGCCAAGAACCTGTGGATAAATAGGTCATAAGCCCCAAGAGAGAACCTAATACTGCTAAATAGACATACCATGAAAACAGCTCCCAATGAACTATTGCTACACTCAGTGTACCTATTAGCCCTCATCAGAGAAACTTTTTCTTGAAGTAAATTGTTTCTGGTTTTTCTTTCCGCCAGGTCCTGCCACCCTTCATCCCCAAATAAACATGGACACTATATTAGTTATAAAACTGTTGGCCAATGGTTAGGGCTTCTTACTGTCTATCTTCCTCTTAATTATGAACCAATAACTACTAATCTATGTATTGCCATGAGGCTGTGGCTTACCCACAATCCTTGGGCAGCATGGTGTCTCTCCCTGGAGCCTCTCTCCCCAGCCTTCTCCTCATCTCCTAGCCCCGCCTATCTTTCTGCCTGGCCAATCAGTGTTTTATTCGACCAATAAGAGAAACATATATACAGAAGGCCATCCCCTATCAGTAGGTGGCAATGAACACAGATATTCAACTGATCAACATCTAAGGATGAAGAGACTGTGGAGTGCTTACCCCTAAAAGGGCCATACATACCACATTCCTCACCCCAAGACTCATGATCTTCTCCAAATAGGAGCAGGAAGATTGTAAAAGAGGTGGCAGAGAACGTCAAGGAAATAGTCTTTTCCAGATATGACAGGGCAGCCACACGTATGTACTCACAATGATTGTGGCTATGCACAAGACTTGTTGCAATCTCAAGCCAGACAAAATCCAAACATGGAGAGAGGGAGGTAGAAACAAAATCTCACTACTAAATGAGGAGATGTTGGCATTCAAAAGCTACTGGGAGAGGGAAAGTCCATTTTATTTTTTGTTTCTTTTTTCTTTGAGACAGGGTCTCACTGTGTAGCCCTGGCTGACCTGGAACTCACATCTTAGACAAGACTGGCCTTGAATTCACAGAGATGTGCCTGCCTCTGCTTCCCAAGTTCTGGTATTAGAGGCATGCACCACCATGCCCAGTGTGAGAGTCAGTGTCCTGTATTGGTGTGAAGTCTAGTAGGTTAACCACACTCCAGGGTTGTCCCACTCCCAAGAGAAGCTGGGAAACACAAATTGGACTCAATGGGTTTAAAAAAGAAAATTGGAAGTCTGATGGGTAGGGATGTGGATCTGAAAAGAGGAGAGAGAGACACAGAGAGAGAGGTGAAATGATAAAATTCATTGCCTGAAGCTCTCAAATAGTGAATAAAATATTATTTTTAAAAGATACATTGAAGGAGGACTGGAGAGATGGCCCAGTAGTTTAAAGCACCTTCAGTGCTTTCAGAGAACTCAGATTATTCATCTCCCAGAACCCACATGGGATGGTTCACAACCTCCATTTCCAGTTCCAGGGCATTCAATGTCCTCTTCTAGGCTGAAATCATATGAACATACCCACACACATAGACAGTTAAAAACAAAACAAAATATTTCTTAAAAGATGAGGTGGAGGGCTACAGATGTAACTGAGTGGTGGAGTGCTGGCATAGCATACCCAAGGGCCTTAGTTAATCCCTAGCACCACATGCATGCATGCAGCATGCGTGCACATGCACACACGCACACACACTGGGGGTGGGGGGGCTTTTCAGAAAACTCTATGATGCTCCAATTTAAAATAAAGCAATTAATATCACTAGGTGCAGGACACCCAGGAGGCAGAGACGGGTAGATCTCTGAGTTCAGGGTCAGTCTAGTCTACATAGTGAGTTCTATGCCAGATAGAGCCACACAGTGAGACCCTGTCTCAAAAACAGAAAGTAATTACTATCATGTCCTAGCTAAATCAGATGGAGAAGAACAATCTGGACATACCAGAAAAAAAGATCTTTAGAATTACAGCAGTTTGCTATATATATTTTTACAGAAATTTAAAGTGAAAATATGTACTAAATATAATGTCTTAGAAAAACAGTAATGCTATGAAAGATCCTATATCATCTAATTTTACAGATAGAATATATTTTAATTAACATAATGATTACATCAATGATTGCTTCATCATAGGAAATCTAAATATTTTCCCAGAAATCCAATCACAGGCAAGTATGAAATAAAATTTCAGGCCAGTGTCTATAATTTAGATAATTTAGAATTTAAATGATCACATATAAGAAAGGGCAATTAATAACTCTTTTATTTTGTATCTTCTATAGAATACATATTGATTACCTGGATATATTAGGATTCTCCTCTCTGCAGTAACATATACTATTGCAGATCTATAATGTTTGCTCTGCTTTACCACAGAAGCCTTACAAGATACCAAGATTTGAACATAAGCATCTTAAAACACTGCTGATTTCTTGATCATGCATTAAACATGGTCTCACTAGTCTATTTCAGCTGTGTCTGCTCATGTAATTGAGGAATGTCTTTTCTAAATTTTTGATTGATTAATTTTCCAAAGTCATATATAATTTGAGCTGGGCAGGGTAGTGTGTGCCTATAATTCTAGCACTTGGAATGCCGAGAAAGGAAGACCTTTAAGTTCAAGGCCAGCCTGGACTAGAGTGAACCCCTGCCTTGGGTGGGAGGGTTATACGTAACGTCATGCCAAGGTTGTGGTGGTTTGAAGGAAATGTTCCTCATAGTCTTGGGCATCTGAATTGGGTTCCCACCTGGTGGTGCTGTTCTGATAGCCTTGGGAGGTATAGCCTTGCTGGGGGAATATGTCAGTAGGCGTGTGCTCTGAGATTCAAAAACCACAGAAGGTTTGGAAGTCACCTGCTGGTCCCGGTTTGATTTCCTGGCTTCCTGATTGTGGTTTAAGATGTGAGCACTCAGCCTCTGTTCCAGATGCCCCATCTGCTGTCACGTTTCCCTGCAGTGATGGTGACAGACTCTCACCCCTGGAACCATAAACCCAAATAAATCCTTCCTTCTGTAAGTTGTCTTGGTCACATGACAGCAACAGAAAAGTAACTAAGACAGATCATCAACAAAGGGATTTGTTGTTGTTGTTCTAGACAAGACCTTACTATGTACCAGGCTGGCCTAGAGTTCTCTATGTAGACTAGGTTGGCCTCAAACTCATAGAAATCTGCCTGCCTCTACCTCCCAAATGCTGGGACAAGATGTGTTTATTATCACAGCCAGCCCAGATAAGGTGTTATTATTCATTTAATTGAGATGGGGTCTTTCTCAGTAGCTTGTACTGACCTAAAATTCAATATATATAGTCAATAATAAATATATATATATATAATGCATAATATATAACATGTATTACATATAATATAATAACATGTTATAGAATAATAATTATGTAATATAATCATATGAGTAGGTTAGTCATAAATATTTATATGTTATATAATTAAGTAACAATAATGATTATATTATTTAATATATAATTTATATTGCATAGTAATTATATGCAATAATATATTGATATTATAAACGATATATAAACATATTTTATACATAAATTTATATAGTGTGTTATGTGAATAATAAACATATGTTTTATAAATATATATTTTACTACATATGTGTATTTAAGGTTGAACTTTACTCAGATCAATGTGTCATACATAAAGGTTATCTGGCTAATACAAAAAACAAACAAATGCCTCACTTCAAACAATTCTGCACACTGAACTGTGTTGTTCACTTAATACCTGTTAGAAACTATCTAAGTGCCAGATCCTATCAGGTTATGAGGACAAAAAAGTCATGTTCCCTTTCTCAGAGTATGTGGTCCTGGTGGAGGGATGCATTCAGCACACACATCCCTAAGGCAAAAGCAGCAAGTGTCCTTCCCCTTTCTTTACAGCAGGCTCCACCCAGTCTCCTCTGAAGGGATGGGGAGCATAGAAATGTATTTTTGAGAGCTGTCCATGAGCATGAGGCAGGCTGCTGGCAGGCTGTGTGACTCTTTGGTTTGAGTGGGAAAGTGTGCTCATTCTGTATATGTGCACACATATGAAAGGTGTATGTGGGTGTTTTAAGGGGTGTGTAAGCCCCTATGAAGCTGGGGTTCAAGATGTCTATGAAAAATCCTCAACGTCTATGCCCATCTCCTCTTCCTCACAGGATCAGCCTCAAACTTCAGCTTTTTCCGATGGATGAAGTCCCTCCTGACGCCCTCCTGCAGGTCGGTGCCCACTGGGGCTGGTGCAAGGATGGATGAGTGTCCCAGGCTTGGGAGGTGCCTTGGGGGTCTTGTTCCTGGATGTGTGTGGGCCTGGATGTGTGTGGTGCAGAACTCAGCAATGGAGAAGCTCCATGAGGCCGATGTTCGCACCTTACTGTCCTCCTCCTCACACTCATACTCAGCACCCACACTCATCCTCACACTCACACTCAGTGCTCACACTCATCCTCAGAGTCCTCACACTCAGTACCAAGTCCTCCTCCTCACACTCACACTCAGCACCCACACTCATCCTCACACTCACACTCACACTCAGTACCAAGTCCTCTTCCCTCTCACACTCATCCTCACACTCACACTCAGCACCCATACTCATCCTCACACTCATACTCAGTGCTCACACTCATCCTCAGAGTCCTCACACTCAGTACCAAGTCCTCCTCCTCACACTCACACTCAGCACCCACACTCATCCTCACACTCATACTCAGTGCTCACACTCATCCTCAGAGTCCTCACACTCAGTACCAAGTCCTCCTCCTCACACTCACACTCAGCACCCACACTCATCCTCACACTCACACTCAGCACCCATACTCATCCTCACACTCATACTCAGTGCTCACACTCATCCTCAGAGTCCTCACACTCAGTACCAAATCCTCCCTCCTCACACTCACACTCAGCACCCACACTCATCCTCACTGTCCTCACACTCAGTGCTCACACTCATCCTCACTGTCCTCACACTCAGTGCTCACACTCATCCTCACTGTCCTCACACTCAGTGCTCACACTCATCCTCACTGTCCCTCACACTCAGCACCCACACTCATCCTCACTGTCCTCACACTCAGTACCCACACTCATACTCACACTCACACTCAGCACCCACACTCACCCTCACACTCAGTACCCACACTCACCCTCACACTCAGTGCTCACACTCATGCTCACTGTCCTCACACTCAGCACGCACACTCATCCTCACTGTCCTCACACTCAGCACCCACACTCATCCTCACACTCACACTCAGCACCCACACTCACCCTCACACTCAGTGCTCACACTCATGCTCACTGTCCTCACACTCAGTGCTCACACTCATCCTCACACTCACACTCAGTACCCACACTCATCCTCACTGTCCTCACACTCAGTACTCACACTCATCCTCACTGTCCTCACACTCAGTACCCACACTCATCCTCACTGTCCTCACACTCAGTGCTCACACTCATTCTCATTGTCCTCACACTCAGCACCCACACTCATCCTCACACTCACACTCAGTGCTCACACTCATCCTCACACTCACACTCAGTGCTCACACTCATCCTCACTGTCCTCACACTCAGCACCCACACTCATCCTCACTGTCCTCACACTCAGTGCTCACACTCATCCTCACCGTCCTCATACTCAGCACCCACACTCATCCTCACACTCACACTCAGTGCTCACACTCATACTCACACTCACACTCAGTGCTCACACTCATCCTCACTGCCCTCCACTCCTCTTTCCTGGACTGAGCTCGTCAGTACCTCCTTCAGGCTCATGTCCTCTTCCCTTCATGCCCTCAGTCTGGCTGACAGGTCACTGGAGCTGATCTCAACAGATTCTCAGTTTACATCACATTCCCACCAATACTTAATTGTGCTCAAGATCAAAGCCTAAGGAAAAGTGAAATTGGGTCTCATGTTTCTCATCTAGGCCAAAGGTAGTTGGTGTCACTCTACTTGTGACTGACACTCTGTAAGCCAAGTATAGACAGATGAGAGGCTGTGAAGGACTGCTGTGAGTCTGCCATGCTCTCTCTCTCTCTCTCTCTCTCACACACACACACATCCACACACATTCTCACTCTCTCTCACACACTCACACATTCCTCTCTCACACACACCTCCCTGTCACGCACACACACATCCACACACTCACACACACTCACACTCTCTCACACACTCACACTCTCACACTCACACTCACACACACTCTCTCACACACACTCACACTCACACACACACACACTCACACACACACACACTCACACAGAGGGCAGTGGGGGGACTTATCTTGAAGGGAATGTCCCCTGCTACCCCTTCTCTCTGGCTTCTTCCCACCCTAGCAGGAAACCCAAACTTCCTTATCCTTATGGCCTCAGGGTTCTGGGAACTACTTCTGCCTTGCGCCCCCCTTTCAATATCAGATGCAGGCCAGGCAAGTCCAAGCAGATTGCAGCCCAGGGCTTATTTGGTTTCATTTTGGTGGTTTGATTTTGAAACTCTGGATGTGTGATTTGTGTTTGTCAATATCTGCACCTTCCATGCCCAGACATTGCTAATGAAGTTTAGGACCTGTTTCCATTGATTCCAGATGTAAGGGTAGAATCCTTTTTCTCTCTTTGTGTTTCCTTCTTAGCTGTGTGTGTGTGTGTGTGTGTGTGTGTGTGTGTGTGTGTGTGTGCATGCGCGTGTGCGTGTGTGGTGTTAAACACATAACGTAAAATTTATCATCTTAATCATCTGTAAGTGCATATTCATGGTTTTAAATACAATCATACTGTCATATAGCCATCATCACCACTCATCTCCATGGACATTGAACCATCTCTCTGCATTCCAAAGCATTCTTTGTTGTTGTTCTGATTATGTGTATTGGAAAGGGGAGCATATATATGCACATGAGTGTAGGTTCCTTAGCAGGCTAGAGTTATTAGGTTCCTCTGGAGTTGGAGTTACAAGTAGTTATACACTGCCCAATTTGAGTGCTGGGAACAGAACTCGGTCCTCTGTAGGAACAGTGCTTTTTCTTAACCACTGAGCCATCTCTCCAGCCCCTATCCTATCATCCTTTTTGCAATAGCTCTCTGGAAATACTGCCAATCTGTTCAAGTTGGCATAAGAAGTGAGGGCCCCGGAGCAGAGCGTGTGAACAGAATGACAACTCTATCGGCTGCATTTCCTGGTTGTTTTATGTTCTCCCTGGAGCTGTGCTGATGTGGGGTAACCTCTGCCCCTCTTCCTGTCTGAGGCATGAGGTCGCAGCACACCTACACAGATCTCTTTCTCCCATCACCTAGTCCTGAGAGAAAGTAGATTAAGTGGAAATAGGTTTGGTATAGAAGCTGCCCACAAAATTTTGAGCTTCAAATGTGTGGGTGGGGATATTTGGTATAATCTGATTTACAAGAATATATTTAGTCATTTCTGGTTTGAAATCCTAAAAACTGGCTACAGGGTTCACCTACAGGGTGTACTCCGAATTTCTGGGATGTCACCTCCAAGGTGTTAGGACCTAGGAAAAGAAGTTAATCCACACAGCTCCTCTCTCAGTGCATGGCTCTGGACTAGCGAAGAGGGTTGAGGAGCCTTGGCCAAGTCAGCATCAAACTTGCTGGCCTCACCACAGCTCCTGGGTGTGTTTTGTGATGATTTAGAGGAGGGAAGGGCCAAGAAGTGGCTTAAAAATAGAAATTGGTAGCCTTGCTTTCTGCTTTGTAGTTTTGACTTTTCCCAAAATGTCCTTCAAAACCAAGGGCAAATCACGGTTAAGTATGCTTGGGTGGAAGGGTTTGCTATGTTCTGACCTCTGTAGTACCTATATCTCACAGTTACTCTGTGAGGTTAACCCTGACCTTTAGAAGACTTTCCTCCCTGGAGCCCTAGCAACTGTCCTGATGAGGGTCTGCAAGCAGTTCTGGGAAACTGTGTGGCTTTTACCTGCTCAAAATAAATAAATAAATAAATAAATAAATAAATATTGACAAAACATCTATGATTGTCTACTGTGGCATTTTGGCCACTTCTGTTTGCAGATTCCAGCCTTACAGAAGCAAATTCAGTTTTCAGGAAGTCTTAACAGAACTAATTTAGGTACATTCTCAACAAATGTCTGTAGTGCCCGGGTCATGTGATCAAACACTTTCCGGGGTCAGCTGACACTGCTGCTGACGTTCTACAGACTCCCATCCTTAGACTTCTATCTTTTTGCATCCCTCTTTGTCTTGCTTTACATTCCTGATTTGAGCACTTGAATGTTACTCTAAGTAAAGCAGCTGAATCTGTTGTGGGGAAGATGTTCAGAGGAAATCTGTGTCTCTGGGAGAACTCAACGACCTGATAGGCTCTGGACCAGGACGGGCCATGGAGGAGAGAAAACAGAGACCTGTGGGGACGGAGGCACCCTGAGGCCACTACTGAAGAGGGCCAGGGCTAGGGGCAGCAATATCTTCTCCAGCCTCTAATACCTTCCTCTGGAACCAGCCTGGTGCATGACCTTCACGAGTGTCTCCACCTGCATCTGCAGAGGCTGGCGCCAGTAGACTAAACCTGGGCTTCTCTTTGTCTTTACTGCTTTGGTACCCAGATCCTGGGCCTGTTACATCCACTGCTTGCTTGGTGCCCTGGCAACTACTCACTCAGCTTCCTTCCTTTCTTCCTTCCCTCCCTCCCTCCTTCCTTCCCCTCCTTCTTTCTTATAGAATATCTCTTGTTTGTTTATCATTTGATAACTTTATACGTGTAATCAATGCATCGTGATCTTGTGCACCAAGTCCCAGGCACCTGCAGCAATCCCCCTTCCCATTTCATGTCCTCTCCCTTTTTGTATGTGATAACACTGAGCCCTGTAAATGCTGCCTGCTGGAATTGATCTGGTTGACTTAATTGTGTGTGAGTAATCCCAGCTACAATGAGTTTGTGAGTGCCGTGGCCATGCCATGTCCAAAGGACAGCTTTTGGCAGCACCTCTCCCTTCCCTGGCTCCTTCATTCTGCCCCTCTTCCTTATGTTCTCTCAGCCTTGGGCTGAGATGTCTCATTTAGGGCTTAGTGCCCAATAGACACTTATTCTCAGCACGTTGACCAGTTATGAGCCTTTGTGTTAACTGATGCCCACTACAGAGAGAAGCTTCTCTGGCTAAGGTTGAAGGCAGCACTAATCTGTTTATTGTATATAAGCAATAAACTTAGAAGGCAGTTTGACATCATGTTCTTTAGCAAAGCAACAGTAGTAGGTTCCTCCCTGGGTCCTGTAACCTCCTAAGCCATGGCTTTTGAGCAGGTTTATGGTTCTAAGCCTTAATTCCTTTCTATGGATCAGGCCTCCAATCCAATCCAAAAGTAGTTGGTTACACCCACAACCTTCCTGCCACTACTGCAGCCATAGGCACATCTTGCCATGAAAGGTGGTATTATAGTAAGCAAGACTGGCTGTAGGGATACCATTGATAGCTTTTCTCCTAGGCAGCCTGTGTAACACCTCAACTTAACTTTCTAATGAATCAAAGCAGTTTCTCTATCCACTCTTCTCCATTCTGTAGATTTGCCATTGCATTGTCTCATTTGACAGGGGAACAAAGAAAAGTTACAGAACCCTCACTACACTGTCTTGAGTGTGGGCGTCTCTTGTTAGAGTACAGTTTTCTACTGTTCCACGTGAGAACAGTTAATGTTCTCTCGTCACATTCCTTGACACTGTTCCTGGTACTTTGCGTTCACAGACTGTTGTAGTTCTCAGCAGTTGTGTTTTAAGCTTTTAAATACAGGCTACAGTTAGGACAGCTGGCATTTGCACAGTGTCTCTATCCAGGGAAGACTGGCTGCCACGTTCATCTCCATTCCCTTCACCGTTTCCTATGTCTCTCACTGAAGGAGCCTGAGGTCCAACCGGGAGCAGATTGTCTTGGCACCATCCCCAGCCAAGGTTGACATGGCAATGACTCAGCTTACCCAGGAGAACACAGACTTTGCCACCCGAGATCGCTATCACCATTCCTCCCTCGTAAGTCGGGAACAGCTGATGCCTCCCTTCTAGAGCCTTGCTGGACTTCTTTCTAGAAGCTGCCTTGGAGATGGGGGACCCAAACCTCAGAACCTTTGAAAACTGCTTCTACCAATGTGAAATCCCAACACTGGTCTTCCCACCACAGCCTTGGATGCCAGAAATCATATTCTGGTCTGAAGTGGCATGTCTAACCAGACACTCGGTGTGTCCATGGCTTCCACATGTACTCAATCTGAACATCCCACAGGCCACCAGGGTGATCAGGTGACACTAAGACAATCAGATGTAGAGAACCAAAACCAGATTTCTTATTGTAAGGACCACAATAAACACTTTACGTATTACACTCACATGGTTCCAAGTCACAAAATGTAATTATATGCAAGGCAAAAGCCTCCTTCTCCTCCTTGGTCCTCATCGGCCTGGTGCCCATCCCCACCACAGAGCTACCACTTGTCACACATACCCCAACCATCTCTTTACAAATAGGAAAGGGGGTTCTTATACCTTCTTGTCCACAAATGCAGCTCTGTATACACACATTCCACAGCGTCTTGCCTTCTCCCTTGATCTGCCTTGGAAGCATTTCCGTGATGGTGCTTTCACAGTTTCCTCATTATGTCTCAATGTCTGAGTGTGCCACAATTTATTTTATCAGTCTCATGATAACAGCATTTTGATACACTTCTGCAATGAGTCATTATGTTTGTATACACAGCCGTGGAGCATCCCTGCAGATAAGTTCTCAGTAGGAGAGTGCAGGATCAGTGGGGATGTGCATGTGTAAGCTGTTACTGTTGGGAGACGTGCTTTTTAGTTACTGAGACAAATAACTGGCCAGGCATGGTAGTCACCTGGAATCCCAGGACTCAAGAGATGAGACTGGAGGATCAAAAGTTTGAAGACAATCTAGGCTGAACAACAAGACCCTTTATCAACATGGATGGGGAGAAGAGAAGGAAATAAATTATTATGAATTGCCTAATAGTGACTAGTGTTATCAAAAATATGTGTAGTCCCTGACTCCCTGGCACCAGTGCTTCTGTTTTGTGACATGAATAGCATGAGGTGACAGGACTCTTGGTTCCTCTGTGAGCTGGGCCTGGCACTCATCATGAGCACCCAGCACTGGGGACCAGCTTCCTGGTAAGTTCAGCTCCTGGCCCAGGCTCCAGTTTCACCACTGAGCATGGAGGGGTGAGATGCTGGGTCTCTTTCAACTCTTCTGCACGTTTTCCTGAGATATTGAACACTTGTATGTTAGTTGGAAAAGCTTAGAGTAGGTGAGAGCTGAGAAAAGCCTGAGGACTCAGCTTAGAACCTTCTCTTCTGCAAAACAAGACCTGATTCTTGGTGTCTGGGAACAATACCTACCTGTGCTTAAAGAACAAATGTGCAATCTTCTTTAGGTATTTTTAAAGAATGTGGACTTTGGGTTGGAAAAAACCATAAGAATAGAAACACCACAAAAAGAGCCAACAAGATGTTCCAGGAAGGGCACTTGCTGCCAAGCCTGACCACTGGAGTTCTAGTCCTAGAATCCACATGGTAGAAGGGGAGAACCAACTCCTACAAGTTGTCCTCTAACCTCCACAGATGTGCTCTGATTTACACCACACATGAGCATGTATGCAACACACATAACCTCATTTAGGCATACTCACATAAAATTTTAAGACATTTTTTAAAGGACACAGGCTGGAGAGATGGTTCAGTGGTTAAGAACACTTCTTACTTTTCCAGGAGACTGGGGATCAATTTCCTGGACCTATGTGGTGGCCTGCAACTGTCTATAACTCCAATTCTAGGAGATCAGAGACCCTCTCCTAGCCTCTGGTGGCACCAGAGAATGTAGTATGCAGGCACACCCTCCATCACAGCTGTTTTTCTGACTCTCCTGCCTCCTCCTTCTGCTTTTAGGGACTCTTGTGATTATTCTGGACCAGCTAGTAACCCAGCACAATCTCCCCATCCAGGTCCCTTTGCTGTGTCAGTCACATATCCACGGGTTCTTGGTATGAGGGTACAGCCGTCTTTGAGGATATCCTTTACCTACCATGTCTGACAGGTTCAGTTGCAGAGGAGAATAAGGCTTCACTTAGCAAATGGCTGAATGTATATCCAAGACGCCCAGCAGGCAGCCATGACCATTGCTGCAAGAGAACCTCAGGGTTGCTGGGGAGACAAGGGAGGCAGGAACCCAGATTCTGAAGTGAATTTGAAACCATGTTTGTTAGAAGATATGGGAAGAAAGACTGAGAAGATGGCTTAGTGTGTAAGAGGGCTTGCTGTGCAAGCATGAGGACCAGAGTTCAAATCCCACACACCCACATAAAAGCCAGGTAAAGTCTCACACATGCATAGAAGTATGCACACACATATGTGTATCAACCATGTACATATACACCACACACATAAAGTTTAAATTTTAAACAATAGAATGTGTGGGAGAATGGGAGGAGAAACAGGAAACTGGGATTGGTATGTAAAGTAAGATTGTTGTTAATTTAAATGAAAATTTAGAAAAAGAATATATAAACCTTAAAACAGAAAAGAAGATACAAAAAGACTTTTGAACCAAGGAACAAGGTGCATAGGAATAAATGAGATGCCAGTTAGAAACAACAGACTCACTTCAGTCTACCAACTAGTCTACCTCTTTCTTTTAGATGGACTTACTGGTCTACCTCTTTCTTCTAGGTGAGTTTACTAATGCAAACTTGATGTTGCCCTGGCTCTAGTACAATTACTAGCTTTGTAACCTTGGACATGCTTTTTGTCACTTATCTCTGTGAAATGGGAATGGAATTCCTACCAACTAGTCCATGGAGTTCCGAGTAATAAATAAAATGAGACCTTTATTTTAAAAAAAAAATTTTTTTTTGAGGAGACAAAGATGGGGGAGTGGGTAGTAGCGTTAAGAG